TTTCTTATTAGTTTTTTTCTTATTATTATTAATTATCATTCCGTTAAATAAAAATTATAAAAAATCGTTATTAACTCGGTGGCCTTTTTGTAACGTATGATGATATCAACGATCCAATCGCATTCATTATAAAATTTATTATTATTATTATTCAAATGATCCTCGACAAATGGTCGACGTATTTTCATTCTGAAATGAAATCAAATGTAAAATAAATTTTCATTTAAGTCATTCTAATTCTAGGTAAAAGAACATGTCATTCATTTCTAATTAAAAACGTACATTATAATACTAAATTTACAAGAAGCATGTTGTATCAATGCCAAGAATAGTGAGATTGATGTAATAGTTATTATTACTATCATATACATTATTATTGTATGATAAAGAAGTAAACAATAATATCGTAATCCTATATCAAAAACAGCATTTGGTGATAACGGTAATGTTAAATGAACATCATCAAATATACCTAAATGATACAAAATAGCTTTTAATATGGATGGAAATGTTATTACCATAATATACAAATTGAAGAAAACTGCAATAAGGTAAAAACCATAAATATTAAAATTAATTTTGATTAATTACAATTTTATTAGATGAATTTTTCTGACCTATCATAAGTAATGTAAAATATTTGCTTTCTTTTGTATACTTTTCTATAATATTTAATTCCTCATTATCCGTCACTAATTTGTAATCTTCTTTAATGTGATCATAAACTAATATCCTCTGAGAATAAATTCTATTAATCAATTATGCAATTTAATACAAAAGTAAATCTAATAATTAAGACAAAAACAAAAACGATACAAACTTTGTCGGAGGAAAAATATAAAAACCAATGAAGACAAAAATAACACAATCCCATGATTATTTGCTGCAACAATTTGATCATGAATTCTAGTCGAAAATTTGTGTTAAAAAATTGATAAAACTGAAATATAATAGTAATAGGTATTTATATAGTAAAACTATAATGGTGCATTTAAATTTTTGTTCAATTAAATCATCGTGAATTTATTCGAATGATTTATTAGCATTACCATTTGAAAAAATATTGGTAGAATGCAAATGAATATGAGAAAAAAAAACAAAAAACGTATAGTTGAATTTGGGTCGGGCAATACGCCTATCAAAAAGCAAACAAATTTTTTGGAATAAAGAAAGTGTCGTTCGAAAGAGTATAATGATTTTAAAAACATATTTAAGTATCTAACGTTTACGATAAGAAAGCAGAGAACAAACTAAAACATTATATCTATTTTATACATACTATTTGCTTTCAAGTGGGGTCAGTAAAATTGGATATCAAAAATTAATTATAATGATCGAATCGATAGAACAACCCTTCATAGTAATCATATCCCCCTATTATTTTAAATATGGTTATCTGTATTGAATTGATACCCTTCGCAATGTAACAGGTGTGACATTCCCAACAATTAAGAAAGGGTTGTTTTGTACCCACTACTTTCATTTTCAAATGACATGCGCACAAGTTTCATTTCACTGCAATCATAGTCATTCGTTTTCCAACCACGGTGCAGTACATTTGTTCAAAATATCAGTGAGTATTGTTACTTCACTTCTTTAACGATACACCTTGCTTTTTGTTAGTTTGTGCATTATTGTTACAGAAATTGTGCAATTATTTATGCAATTATTTTATGCATTTTATTGAATTATGTGAAAAGTGTATACTACATTTGATACAAAGTTTAAATAATTAATTCTAGTGTTACTGTGATTTTTTGCTTATAAAAAATATGTACTGATGTTTTTTTATAATGATAACCTTGTAAGATTCAATTATTATACAATTAATACTTTCTATTTCAAACTAAGCATGCACAGTTTCATCAAAACCATCCTTAAATTTTAATTTTACAACATCATATATTAATCCTCATGCAAACAGGATAATCAGTTATCTTTGATCAGTTTATTAAAAACTATAAATTTGTATAAAATAAAATAATGGTGAAAAAAAGTATTTTTATGTGTATCATTAGGAGTATATTTTATTTTGTTAAAAAATAATTTAAGCATTATTGTCATAATATATTCCAAAATTTATGCAAATAACATAGTTTATCTAAACGATGTCTTTTTATTGCACATAAAATACTATATATGTTTAATTTACTATACAAAACATAATGATTAAAATATATAATGAGTAAAATGTTTCATTTTCACTTATTACTTGTTCTTCATGTTTTGATATTATAAAATACTGTAGCAAAATAAAATGATTTTTGTACTAACTAGAATATTAAATATTAATAATTATTAATGTTGGTTATAAATAGATATTCTAATATATTGTTTAAACAATATGTTTATTACCGCAACAAACATAACGTGAGATGAAACGTATAAACCTCCAATCGAAAGAGAACTTGGTTTTATACTTCTCGTTATCAAAAATAAAAATAATTTTTGTGTTTTTATCGATAGCATGTAAAACGGTACTTGATTCCTAAAAATAAAATCCAATAAATAATCTACTAAAAAGTTTTCAATGGTAAATATTAAATATATAAATGAATATTTTGGATATTACAACTCGTAAAATGTGTAAACACTGTGATCCATCAATTTTTGTCCAACGGTAAAAAAAATATATACAGAAAACATAGTAGCAATTAAGAAAACAATTAATTGAATATTTTCGCTCATGTTTTTCATATTAACAGAAAATTGTAGAATCTATAAAATGTATTACACATGTCAATATAAATCTTCAATTACATTATTATTATACTTATTTACAAAACACATATTTGTTACTTACATAAACGAAATTCATAATGATCTGTAGCATCAAGAAAAATACTGAGATCAATGATATATTCTCAGCCATTGAATTTATCAAATCAATAATCCTTTAACAAAAATATAATAAATTAAAAACAAATCTTAATTATATAATATTTTAATTATAGTGTTAATAAAAAATTATATTAAATTACACCAACTCGATTATTCTTTTATAACGTTTGATTATATCAATTATCCAAACGTATTCATCATAAGATTTTTTCTTATCGAAATGATCTTGAACGAAAGGTCGGCGAATTTTCAATCTTAAAACAATAATTATGTAACATAATATTTATTAAAATAATTATTAATAATAATAATAATATATTAACTAATTAAACAACAAATACGTACATTAAAATACTGAATTGACAAGACACATGCTGTGCTAATACCAAATACGACGATATTATTATGATTGTAATTGTTAGTGTGATATATAACACTAATATTTCATAAATAAATAGACAATAATATATCAAGCCTACATCAGAAAAATAATTACTTATCGATAAAGGTAATGTTAAATGAATATCATCGTATGAACCTAAATGATATAAACAAACTTTTAAGATAGATGGAAATATTAATGACATGATGTATACATTACTGAGCACTGCAACAAGGCAAAATAATAAACATAGAAACAAAATATTTTTTTGTAATAAAATAACACATATTAAAATAATTATTAATACCTATCATAATAAATGTATAATATTTGCATTCTTTCGAATACTTTTCTATAATATTTAATTCCTCGTTATCCGTTACTAATTCGTAATCTTCTTTAACATGAACAAAAATTAATGTCATCTGTAAATTAACATATGTAATTCAATAAAATAATATAACTAATGGAAAGAAACAATTGATACTAACTGTTTTGAAATTAAAAAGAATATACCAATAAGCGCAAACAAAGAATATTGAGAAGATTATTCTCTGCGACACTTTGATCATCAATTCTAGTTCAATTATTGTCGTAAAAAAGTTTAAACACTGATATGAGAAAAACAAAACCACGTGAGTGTCCAATTTAATGGATAATCCTAAATTTCTCTACATTTACAATCAAATAATGGTTTATTGAAAATAATTATCATTACCAATTGAATAAATGAAGGTAGCATGAAAATAAATATGATCGTGAAATAAACGAAACGTTTAGTTAAATTTATGTCAGGCAATATGCCAAACAAAAATGTAACATATCTTTTGGAATAAAGAAAGTGTCGTTCGAAAGAGTATAATGATTTTAAATACATATTTAAGTATCTAACGTTTACGATAAGAAAGCAGAGAACAAACTAACACATTACTTCTATTTTATGCTTACTATTTGTATTCAAGTGGGGTGCATAAAATTGAACATGAAAAATAAATAATAATTATCCAATTGATAGAACAATTACCTTCGTAATAATCCTGTCCCCCTATTATTATAATTATGGTTACATGTGTAATACAAATGTAAGAATCTATACCTTTAATGTGTATGTATAATAACAGGTGTGTTGTTCTCAACAATTAAGAAAGGGTTGTATTTTACCTTCTTCTTTCATTTTCAAATGACATGCGCACAAGTTTCGTTTCACTGCAATCATAGTCATTCGTTTTCAGACCACGATGCAGTACACTTATTTTTTTTCTAGTGTCAGCGAATATTTTTACTTCACTTCTTTAATGAAACACCTTGCTTTTCGTTAACTCGTGCATTAGTGTGACAAAAATTGTGCAATTATTTAGGAAGAATACAATAATGTGGAATTTAGTGTTACTATGATTTTTGCTAATAAATAAAAATATGAATTTTTAGTTTTTACTGCTGTCATTAAAATTAAAGTGATTTCGTTTGACTTTTTTTCTCAGTTGCCCAGTCAGAAATATGAGCATTTAAATGAATTATTTATTGAGTATATTTACTTATTAACTCGTTTGACACTCAGATTTCTTGCATACGTAGAAGGTAAGAAAAAAATATTTTATTTTATATAAAAAATATTAATTCTTCATTTTGAATTTTTACTAAAACCATTACTCACCTTTTTGAATACAAATGAATGACAAATAACACAGACGTAAAAGTATAATAAATTTAGCACTTCTTTTTTCACATTTCTAATAAATAAATACTAAAGACGATTATTGCTTACATTCGTAAAAATAATTAAAATTAAATATTAAACTTATAAAAAGAAATTATAAAATAACTAATGCAAGTAAGAATAATTTTTTGAATAAACTTTTCTATTCCTATAGCCAGAAACATTAAATAAATTTGTTTAAAAATCATAAAATAAATATGAAACAATATTTTTACAAGTACATTATCATTAGAATACTTCATTTTGTTAAAAAATAATTTAAATAATATTTCCAACTACCACTGTCGAATTATTCAAAAATATATAAGAATAATTTAATGTTTATAAGAAAAATTTGTTTAAATTACACATGTGATAATATATAGGTTTATTTTTCAATTCTAAAATATCTATGGAATACAGTTGTCTATTTGGTCATCAGTATTACTTGGTTTCATGATCTGATACTATAAAATACTGTTGCAACTGAAAATGCTTTTTGCAGTAACTACAATAACAGATCAATCATTAATATAGAAAAATTGAAGGAATATATTGTTTAAACAATATGTTTATTACCGCAGCAAAAACTTCGTGAGATGAAACGTATAAGCCACCGATCGAAATAGAACTCGGTTTCATGCTTCTCGTTATCAAAAATAAAAATAACTTTTGTGTTTTTACAGATAGCATGTAAAACGGTACTTGACGTCTGCAAATAAAGTAAACTCTGTACATAAAACTTGTCAAATATAAATAATTAGTGTAAATGAATATTTTTATTATTACAATTCTTCGAAAGTGGTAGTACTGTGATCCAATAATTTTTGTCCAACATAAAAAACAATATAGACGATAAACATACAAGCAATTATAAAAACAATCATTTCAATATTTTCGTTCCTGTGTTTCCATACAACAGAAAATTGTAATACCTACAAAATATATTCTATAAAAATCTCTTACTTCATTATTTTCTAATATATTATATATAATATATATTCCAATTTACAATAATAATGTTGTTACTTACGCAAATGAAATTTAAAATAGTTTGTAGCGCCAAGAAAAAAACTGCGAGCATTAAAAGCATCTCAAATATGGCATTTAATAAATCAATAAACCTTTTACAAAAATATAAGATTGATTAAAAACAAATCTTAATTACATTATATTACAATAATCATATTAATGAGAAAAATTAAAATAAATTATACGAACTCGGTTATTCTTTTGTAACGATTGATTATATCGATAATCCAATCGCATTTATCATATGATTTGTTATTATTCAAATGATCCTTGACGAATGGTCGACGTATTTTCATCCTACAATAAAATATCATATAATACAATGAAATCATTTATTTGAAAGTATATACATATGTATTGTTTACACATTAAAATCGCGTACATTATTATACTGAATTGATTAGACGCGTGTTGTATTATTACCAAATACAATGATATTATTATGATGGTCATTGTTAATACGATATATGATACTATAATTTGATAAATTAGTAGACAATAATATAGCAAGCCTACATCAGAAACATAATTACTTATCGTTAAGGGTAATGTTAAATGAATAACATCGTATATACCTAAATGATATAAAATAACTTTTAGGATAGATGGAAATATTAATAACATGCAATACAGATTGGAGATAACTGCAACAAGGAAAAATTATAAATATAAAAACTAATTTTTATTTATTACAAATACATATGTTTGATTTATTGTTCTTACCTATCAGAATGAATGTATAATATTTGCTTTCTTTCGTATACTTTTCTATAATATTTAATTCCTCATCGTCTGATATAAGTTCGTAATCTTCTTCAACGTGAACATAAATTAATGTCATCTGTAAATTAACATGTATCTATCGATATATAATTCAATAAAGAAATGTAACTAAGGGAAAGTAACAATTGATACGAACTGTTTTAAAATTAAAAATAATATACCAATAAACGCAAACAAAGAATAATGAGAAAATCATTTTCTGCGACAATTTGATCACCAATACTAATTTAAAATTTGTCGTAAAAAATTGATAACACTGATATGAAAAAAAAATAACACAACGTTAGAATGCACTTCAATAGATAATCCTAAATTTCTCTTCACTTAGAATCAAATAATTGATAAATAATAATAATTATCATTACCATTTGAATAAATAAAGGTAGCATAAAAAAAAACATGATCGAGAAAAAAGCGAAACGTTTAATTAAATTTATTTCAGGCAATATGCCAAACAAAAATGTAACATATCTTTTGGAAAAAAGAAAGTGTCGTTCGAAAGAGTATAATGATTTTAAAAACATATTAAAGTACCTAACGTTTACGATAAGAAAGCAGAAACCAAACTAACACATTCATTCAATATTATGAATTCTATTTGCATTCGAGTGGGGTTCGTAAAATTGAACATAAAATATGAATAATAATTATCCAATTGATAAACAACCCTTTGTAGTAATCCTGTCCCCAATTATTATAATTATGGTTATCTGTGTAACACAAATGTAAGAATGTATATCTTCAATGTGTATGTATATTAACAGGTGTGTGGTTCTCAACAATTAAGAAAGGCTTGTTTTGTACCCACTACTTTCATTTTCAAATGACATGCGCACAAGTTTCGTTTCACTGCAATCATAGTCATTCGTTTTCCGACCACGATGCAGTACATTTCTTTAAAATGTCAGTGAATATTTTTCCTTGCCTTCTTTAATGACAAACCTTGTTTTTCGTTAGTTTGTGCATTGGTGTTACAAAAATTGTACAATTATTTATGCATAATACAATAATGTGAAAGAAAAGTTAATGAATAGTGCCATTAGTTTTCATGATTTTTTACTAAAAAAAATAAATAATAATATGATTAGTAAATTTTTATGCTTTCATTAAAATGCAAGTGATTTCGTTTGATTTTTTGTTTCTTAATTGCACACTCAGAAATATGAGCATTTAAATAAATTATTTATTAGTATATATGTTAATTCATTTGTTTGACACCCAGATTTCTTGCATATATGTAAGATAGAAAACAATATTTTATTGCACATAAAGAATTTCACTTCTTCATTTATCATTTTAACTAAAACCATTACTTACCTACTTATTACAAATGAATGACGAATAACATAGCTTTAACAGTATAATAAATTCAGCACTTTTTTTTCACATATCTAATAAACAAATACTAAAGACAATTATTGATTAAATTCGTAAAATTAAATAAAATTAAATATTATACTTTTAAAAGATATTATAAAATAACTAATGCAAGTAAGATTATTTTTTGTGAATCTATTTTTCTATACCTATGGTTAGAAACATTTAAATAAATTTGTTTAAAAATCAAAAAATAAATATATAACAATATTTTTACAAGTACATTATCATTAGAATACTTCATTTTGTTAAATAATAATATTACTAATATTTTCAAGTACCACAGTCTGATGATTCAAAAATAAATGCGAATAAAACAATGTCTATACGAAAAATTTTATTTAAATTGCACATGTGAGATAATATATACGTTTATTTTTCTATTCTAAAATATCTAAGGAATACAGTTGTCTATTTGATCATCACTATTACTTGGTTTTATGATCTAATACTATAAAATACTGTTGCAAATGAAAATGCTTTTTGCAGTAACTAGAATAACAGATCAATCATTAATATAGAAAAATTTAAGTGATATATTGTTTAAACAATATGTTTATTACCGCAGCAAAAACTTCGTGAGATGAAACGTATAAGCCACCGATCGAAATAGAACTCGGTTTCATGCTTCTCGTTATCAAAAATAAAAATAACTTTTGTGTTTTTACAGATAGCATGTAAAACGGTACTTGTCTTCTGCAAATAAAGTAATCTCTGTACATGAAAGTTGTTATATATAAATAATTAGTGTAAATAATTATTTTCATTATTACAATTCTTCGAATGTGTTAGTACTGTGATCCAACAATTTTTGTCCAACGTAAAAAGAAATATAGATGGTAAACATAGAAGCAATTATAAAAACAATCATTTCAATATTTTCGTTCTTGTGTTCCCAATCAACAGATAATTTTAATATCTACAAAATATATTAGATAAAAATCTCTTACTTCATCATTTTCTACACAATTTTTACAATAATAACATTGTTAACTTACGCAAACGAAATTTATAATAATTTGTAGCATGAAGAAAAATACTGCGAGCAATAAAATCATCTCAATCATGGTATTAAATAAATCGACAAACCTTTTACAAAAATATATATGATTGATTGAAAATAAATTTTAATTATATTAGATTTTAATAATCATGTCAACACGAGAAAAAAATTATAATAAATTATACCAACTTAGTTACTCTTTTGTAACGTTTGATTATATCAATCATCCAATCGCATTCATCATAAGATTTATTATTATTCGAATGATCCTTGACGAATGGTCGACGTATTTTCATGCTAACACAATTAAATCATTTATTTAAAAACAAATACATATATATTGTTTACACATTACAAATACTTACATTATTATACTGAATTGATTAGACGCATGTTGTATTACTATCAAATACAATGATACTATTATGATTGTCATTGTTAATACGATATATAATAATATTATTTGATAAATAAGTAGACAATAATATTTGAATCCTACATCAAAAGTACCACTAACAGATAATGGTAATGTTAAATGGACATCATCAATTGTATCTAAATAATATGATATAATTTGGAAGATAGATGGAAATATTAATATCATGATATACAAATTACTGAACACTGCAACAAGATAAAAATAAATTACCTTTCCAATCCTAATTTGATTTATTATAAATTCTATTG